GCCCCTTTTTTGCACATAATGGATAGCGTAGCCTACTTTCACTATATTTGTTTTCATTGCCTTTAATATAAACATTGTTTTATTGGACAAAATTGGGCAGGATGTTAAAAAATATATATTTAAATATATATTTTTTAATCCAAATAGAAAATGTAGAAAATACCGAGATATATACCATATGTGGCATTTCAGTCAAAAAATACTGAGACATAATTTTTTTGGCCATATCGCCCCACCCTACCTTTAGTCACATGGGTTTGGAGTGACACAAGGGTTAGTAAATGACATTTCATTTTTTGCTGAACATTTGATTTATTCCCAGTTTAGAGCCATTGGAATATTTTTATAGTGTAAAATTCAAGACACATTTTTAAGATAATGTAATAAATTCCTTGCTTTAATTTGAACATCTTAAGTCATTTCTGAAATTTCAATAGGCTAGTAGGAATTTATACTGAATAGATCACATAACATTTGCCCATTTTTTGACATCAACCTGCATGTAGGTAGTACTGTATACACTGGGACCATAAATTTCCATGTGCTATTGATCGTGTGACCAGACTCCATAGTTAAGACTCTTTTTTTCCCCTTGGCAGAATACAGTGGAAACTTGCCTTTTCAGGCTCCTGAGAATTTAGCAGGTGTGACAAGAGCTTGTCTCTGTCTGTACTGTGTATTGAGTGAATGGTGGTGCTGTAGCTGAGCATTAAGGGCCAGTGTTCAGCTTACCCACAGACTCCAGCAGTTGGTAACATTGAGGATTAGTTCTACAGATCAGTGGACAGTTGAGCCTGGACTTATTTGCATCAAGAGGTATGCTTGCATATCACCGGAAAAGGTAAGTGATCTTGTCTTGTTCCATGCAAATAAAGTACTACTATCATCAGCCGTGTTGAAATACTACCAGGGTTCTGGCATCACACTTCTGAAAATGGATTCACGGTGCAGAAATAGTTTTTGTAAGCAGAATTTGAAATGTGTTTGGTACTTTGGCTCCCTTTGTGTGTATTTCAGCTGCTCTGTAATATCTTCCACACAGTAGCTGTCTTTGGGGACAGCAGCAGCATCGCTACTTCACCAGGTACCATGTATTTAAGCACCTCACACTAATAAAATTCAAGGACCTCATTAGTGATGTGGTGGCATTCTATTGACTTCATGTACTGAGATTTTCTTTCTGATTAGGCAGGGATAAAACAAAATATGGTCTTTTTATGGTGAAGGCTAGGGTCCTGAGAACTTGAATCTGAATAGAAATGTTCAAAAAAAGCTCTTTTTTTCAGTCCATTTTTTGATTTAATTAAACTTCACTCAAATTTCATGACACTTGTGTGGGGCTTTCTAAACTTTTTTTTTTTCTCTCTCTCTCTCCCAAAACATCATTTTTGCATGATTTAAGCTCAAGCAGCAAAATCTATGACACAATTGCTGGTTCGTTGCTTTCATACATACAAAAACTGAAAAGTTTGGGGTTGAAGTTTTTTTTTTTTTTTCTGTTTTAATGTACTTTAAAATTTATATTCAGCATCATTACTCCAGTCTTCAGTGTCACATGATCCTTCAGAAATCATTCTAATTTGTTGATCTGAAGCTCAAGAAACTTTTCTTATTAATGTTAAACAGTTTTGCTGCTTCATATTTTTGTGGAAACAGTGATACATTTTTGGTTACACTTTATTTTTAGGTATTCTTGTTGCTGTGTAATTGTACAAATAAGTACTGGTTAATATTAACTAACATGTACTTACTATTAGGGCTGGACGATATAGCTAAAAAATTTATCAACGATATAATGTTTCATATCGTTAGGTATCGATAATTATTGACATTTTTAATAGGTTAACCTTTTTTAAAACAGAGCAATAAAAAAAAAATTTTATTTTAACAGTCAAACACAGAATAAAAATTAAACGCATATCTTTTTTCTAATGTTTTATATGCAGATTAATAAGTCTTGCGGAAACTTTTGACTTGTTTCCCAAGGCCACAGGAGGGTGCAATGAGCAATGTAATGCAGCGCATTAAATGCAATGCAATGAAATAACTTAACTGTCTATTAAAAAAAGTGCATAACGTCTAAATTAACATATCTAAATCAAATATAATTTCGTAAATTGCATAAACAATTATGAACAAAACAGCATCATGTATGCATTGCTTACAAAGAGCTGAATCGCCGATCACACAGATTGCATTAAAAAAATTATTAGGACACGGTGAAAAGGAATAAACCTCCACAAACTCGCGACGTGTTTTCTAAACGTTTAAACTGTTATAACTTTGTGTGAGACGCAAGTGCAGCAGTCATAGAGGCGTCATGCCCATTCAAATTTTGAGCCAAGTGGATTTTGAATGCAGCTTCCAAAAGACAAAAAATAGCCGATTAATATTTTCTATATTTAATACAATCACACAGGCGTGATTAGAACGTTCAGTGCATCATATAATCAGCTGCTAAATTCAAATCTGCGTTCGCTAGCTGGCGCTGAGCCAGATACAGACGCGGTTTTACAGCACTGCGCATTAACCAATCACACACGATGCTGTTGAAGTGATGATTAGTAGCCTAACTTGCAATATTTTTATTCACATTAACTTTCAATGTTAAATTCACATTAAATATAAGCTCAGTCGTTTTAAAAATATGTTATGGCATGACACCCATATCTGTTAATTAAGTGTAAACAGGTTTTTATGCATAGTTAATAGATTACATTATTAGTTTACTTTGACCATCGCCCACTATAAATCAACATAATCTATAAAGGTGAGAATCAAGATATTTCATTATATAGTTAATGCGTTTGGGGATGTTTCGAATAAAAAGGAAAAAATAAATAAAACATAAGTGCTGTTGTGTTACAAATGAGAAAAAGTAATTAAAACTAAAAGCTAAAACTCTATAAATACTATATATATACACACATTTAAGAAAATAAAAGAAATTAAATAAAAATGACAAATGCATACAACAACATTTCAAAACTAAAACATTTAAATGAAAACATAAGTGCATGATGCCCCTGGTCATAGTTGTCCGTCTAAAGAATGCGCTGAATATGCGTTCTGTGTTAATGGCTTGGTTTCAGTTTTAACCTAATCAAGATCTCCTACGCATTGAGTTACTATATTTCTTGAATATTTTGAAAGAATAACGTAGCAACGGTGCATCTCGTGGGCAAGACTAACAAAGCATTAAAATGCAACAGCGTCATTTACATCATCACCGCATCTCATGCACAGCTGATGACGCACACCTAACATTCGATTGTAGCATTTTTGCATTCAGATCCAAATGTTTATTTTTAAATTTGACTAATATTCATTTTTTTTATTCACAATCTCCTCATTTCAGCATGTGCTCGTGTGTGCTTGTCACTCATAGCACGTGCCTATATTGTGCGCTATATCAAAAAAAATTTCTATCGTTATCGATGGTGTATCGTCGATAAATACAGATACCGTTTTATCGCCCAGAGCTACTTACTATAGGGTTAGGATTAGGGTTTGCTGCTTGTAATTATGCATAATTTGTTTACTGTTATTACTATATTAAGTATAGTACTATAGTAAGTACACGTGACCAGGTCGCTGTTAAATAGTGTTATCCTTTTTTCCAGGATTCTTTGAATAGAAAGTTCAAAAGAACAGCATTTATTTCAAATAGAATTTTAAAATAAAATAATCATTTATTATCACATTTATTTGCCTGTATTTAGCAGTTACCCCAGTGATGCTCTGATTTTGGGTGGTTCATATCACAATTTTCTATTCGTTCTGTTTTGACGAGTGCTTTTTGCTAAGGGCAAGCATATTAGATTCCATGAAAACACAGGAGACTTTGCCACTCATAACCTCCAAACTCTTGAGTGCTTAGACCTTGTCTGTCAACTGTTCTAGCCTGCAACAAATCTGTTGTAGTCTGCAACAAACCCCTATATTGGATAGCCTTTAAGCTTGTTGTCTTGATGTTGCAAAAAATATATTTATGGCAGTGTAAATAGTTATTCTTTCTCTCTTGTTCTCACTTCTCAATCCTGGCAGTCTAACTAGTCTGTTTGCTTCATACCTACATGGATATCACCGTAATGCTGCCTCCACTCTTTACAAACTTCCCAATGTGGACTGGGGTGGGAAATACTCTGAGAAATGAAACTGTGTTTTTAAAGTACATTTATTTGGTGTTTTCCCCAAATCTACTGTGATCTTTTATTCTTCACACAAGTATTGCACTCATGCATTGACTTGTTCTCCAGCAGTGTATCGCAGCCATGTTACTGAACAGACTGTATTAATGGAGCGTGTGCGTACTCCTGCTCCTGTGGATGATCGGAGTGCTTCTGTACAACATATTTATAGTGCTGGATCAGCATTTTGACTGTCTGGATATGTGTGTACATGTCTGTTTATCTGCATTGTGATCCATTCATCTTGGCCCCAATCTGTCATTTTGATAATCCTAGTATGGGCCATGAGTTTTTAGCTCTATGGAGTGTGATGCCAGAACTTACCTTGTGACTTAGTGGCTGCCTCAGAGAGGCAGATCTTTAACACAACATCCTTATCTTTTAGAAATTTGGGATTGTGTTTGAGGTGCTGTCTGTATGGAGTTCAAGTGTCATTGACCTTGTCAGTTAGTGAGCTGTACAGCAACTGTAACAAAGTGTTTCTGCATGAGATGAAGTAATATTTGCTCTTCAGCTGTATATTAAAGAACAAAAACAAAGTGACTTAGTTTTGCTTAACTTCAATATACCTAACCATTTACTTGAGCATTATGTGCTTGAGTAGTTTCCATGGTAGAGGGAATTTTCTTTTTGGAAAGAGAACTAAAGTAGTTATTTATTTTAAAAAGGACTACTGAAACTTTCACCCAATGTTTTCCAAAATTCTGTTATTGTTAATTATAATAGCCTGCTGTAAGTCAGAAAGCAGTTTAGGTAGGACTCTGTATACTGGTTTACTTCTGTATCCTCACTGCCTTTCTCTCACTGCAGGGGCCTCGGGTGATTGAAGGAGGTTAAGCAGCATCATACACTTTGATATATGGGTAAGCATTCACCAAACACCTCACTATGACAAGCAAATGATGATCTTGCATGTTTGTGTGATGGGGTAAAAAAATCATTTTTTTCCCTTTTTTTTTTTTTTTAGGTCAACCAAGGAACCTGTTCTCTCAGCAATTGAGCGCTATCGGCACTAAATGCTCCTGCACAGTGGACAATAATGTGCAGGTCTGTGAAATAATTTAATATCATAATTTAACATAAGAATGACAATGTGGGAAAAGTGTCTAATTGTTATATATGAAAATGCTACTAGGTGTTAATCTTACTGTTTTTAATCAAAGATGAGATCATTTATGCAACCTAGATTTCTCTTTTTTCCTTTTTTTTTTTTTTTTTTTCTCTTTGTTTGTCCTGTATAGTCCTGTTGGAGTGTGACGTGATGTGGCAGCTTGGGAAATCTTGAGTGCAGCACAGGATACATCATGATTGTATCCAATTTTTAAATAAACTATGTTAAGATCCCTGTGTCTGGTTTTTGAGAAAAATTTTTTAGATGAAACCATTGCATTTTACGTGGAACTGCAGAACCTTGATCTTGTAGCTGACTTGATGTATGTTTTAGAGTTCTTGCTAAATATTAATATTTTGGTTTAGCACAATTTCATGTATATCCATTAAACTTACTTGGTAAGACTTAAAAAAAAATAATACAGAGAGGAAAAAGACAGTGTCTGCTTAAGAGCTTGTTCTGTAGGTCTATAAACACAGACAGACCTCTGTAACTCAGTAGCACCCAGGCTGCTGTCCAGTATTAATTAAGGTCAGGGTGCTATGTTTCTCTTGTTTTATCACTGTTGTGTCCTATTGTCTGACAGCTACTTCTGGAAATTGTTCAAGAAGGAAAATAAACCTGTAGTCTGAGAAGTGTGGTGCAGTAAATGGTGGGTTAGGGTTTTTTGACCAGTGTTTTTAACAAATACACTTAAGAGGATTTTCAGGGATTGTTAAAGTGTTATATGATTGTCAGTAAAATATGAAAGTCATGTCATTTCGGACTGATAAATTTGATTGCTTAATAATCATAATTTACTAACATGTCTGTTGGCAGAAAAAGTTGCAAGTTCTATTAGAGGCAAATCTAAGATTACACTGGAAAAAAAAATTGTAGAAACAATGCTCTAAGAAATTGCTAGTAAACTTTACAATTCAAAATAATCAAGTAGCACATTGAATTAAAAGGTTTTGAAGATTAAAAAAAAAAAAGTATTTTCTTCTAAAACATACTCCAATAGTCTTTTATTTGTAACTTTGAAATATTTTTTATAGTGTACTTGGATTTGTGTATTCAGGTTGGGCCTACATAATCACAATTTATTTGCCAAAATTGGAATTTGAGTTCAGGGTGATTCAAAGACAATCCTCAGATTATCCCCATGTTCCAGGATATCTCAGAAATGCTCAAGCCTTTCTGTGTGCTGTATGCTGACAATGGAACGAGGGAAAGGGGGACAGGGAGGGAGAATTTGGTGGTGTGTGACCAATGGGCTTGCCTGATGTATTTTTAATGCACATGAATGATTGATCACTGTACGTGGACATGCTCACCCAAGGGGTGGCTACAGTCTGGTGCTGTCGGTGCAGATATGAGTGTGACGAGGGGACCTTCTGGACTGAGCATGAACACTGTGGAGTTAAAGCATCAGTGGGCAATGCAGAGAAATCGCACTCTGGTCCGGACATACCTGCTCTCCAGTTCTGTGCTCCCACTTCCTGGCTCACGGAGCAGAGATGATTTCAGACTTCCATCATTATTGTCCAGGTCAACAAATGGTCGGACCACCGCGGTGCCTCTCAGGTAAGCTGATATCTGGTGCCTCGAAGTCTGGCGTTCAGCATCAGCAATAAATAGAGAATTGACTACTGTATGTGATATCAAAATTGCATGGTAAAAAAAAAAAACGACACATGAAATTGTATTTTATTTGTAATATTTATAGTATGTATTTATAATATTTAAGCGTGTTTTAATAAAACATTCTCTAAATTTAAAAGAACTTTACATTTAGTTTTAATTATAAACTATTTTAAGTGTTTTTAAAATTGAAGATAAGTTAAATACTTATAGCAACATGATCCCCAGAATGATTTAAATTTGTTGTACAAATGTGAGTGCAGATACAGCTCTTCATCAGCCAGTAACAGGAAGTGTCAAATCCTTTGCACAATGGAGAAATGCTTCAGAAACCTGAGAAACATTCCTCTTACGTGGCAACACACCCAAACAGCTCACGGGGGAAAAACAACAGCTAAATTACACAGATTATCCAATGACAGCAGCCAATGTTTCCAGTGTTTCTCAAGCTGTACAACATATGCTGTGCTGGCCATATTATGAAATCAGCAGAGGAAAGAAATCTATATAAAACAAATGTCATGAATAAAATATTTGTTTTGGGGGGGAGTGACACCACATTTTACAACCTGAACTAACTAATGAGCATGTTATACTTTCAAAAAATAAAACATGTTCATCATAGAATACCTCCTACATCTTTGATGTTGCAGTGGATCAGATGATTGATTGACTGATTGATTGATTGGTTGGTTGATTGGCAGAACAGTGGCAAAGGATTTAATGGCCCATTTAGTCTTGTGTATCTGGACTGGCAGCTCAAATAGTATTTCAAAGTTTTCAAAAAAATGATTCCAGTCAGCATTTAACATGTTAGATTTTTTTCTATTATCATTTTTGTTTTGTTTTTGAAAGTTTCTTATGCACACCAAGGATACATTTCTTTTATCATAAATAGTGAAAACAGTAATACTGTGAAATACTATTACAAATTAAAATGTATTCCTGTGCTTTCCAGCTTTGCCACAAAGCTGAATTTTCAGCAGCCATTACTCGTCTTCAGTGTCACATGATCCTTCAGAAATCATTCTAATATGCTGAATTGCTGATCAAGAAACATGTCTTATCAATGTTGAAAAAAAGCTAATTTGAAATTGAAATCTTTTGTAACATTCTTTACTATTAATTTGATCATTTAACTTGATCAGTTTAATGTGTCCTTGCTGAATTAATTATTATAAATTTCTTTCGAAAATAAATCTTACCGACCCCAAACTTTGAATGGTAGTATTTGTCAGAACGTTATCCTTTCATTCCTTCAGCTTTATAATTGAAGATGTTCTGTTTAATCCTCACGTGTGTCTGTTTTTGGTCTCCTCTGATCTCTCAGTGTCAGTGAGCCCTGCTTGTTCACCCCAGGCCAGAGAGCAGTTTTCGAGGGGTTTTCAAAAAACCACCATCCCCTTCTACACAAACCTGGCCCATCTGCCTCCTGCAAGACCCTTGAGAAACCAATGATGCCTCAGCAGAGCTATCATCAAGTGTACATGCATTTCTCTCAGCCTCTGAAGCCTGTACCAAAGGTTGGACAGGCCTTTATTCACAGTCAGCGGCAGGCCACAGAGAATAGAGGCCTGCAGCCGTTAGTGAGGCAGCGCAGGCAGCCCATAAACCTAGAGACTTTATCTGTCAGAGGAAAGACTTGCCTTCCCACACAGCATTTACCCACATCTTCATCTAGTGCATCTCGCACACAGCTGCACGTGTTCTTGCCTGCAGAGGGTGCTGGACAGGAGGAAGACAGGGACAGCGAGTCTGTTGATGAGGGTTTCATGGATGAGCTGGATAACAAAGTCACCAACCTGAGACTTCAACAAGATCCAAAGACACCCAAACAGATAGAAAAATCACTGACGGGTCAAATGGTAAAATTAACTTCCTAGTGTCATGCTTTTAATTGTAGCATTTCATATTTTGATGTGTGTTGTATGCTAACACTGATAACTACAGAAATGACAAGTTCTGTATTTACCAATTTGAACACTAGTTTAAATATTTGCTCTCAAGCAATTTATGTAAATCATAATTTATGTAATTACAATAAATCAAAATTATGATTAAAGGTGTGTTCTGATGTATAAAAGGAAGGAAATGTTCCTGACATTACAAAATGTAAACTGTTCATATAAAGGTTATAAATCTCTTTTAAATTAAAAGTATTTGTATGGAAAAATATCGGTAGGCTAGTTATTGTTTATTTTAACTTTTTTTTTTCCCTTCGACTTCAGCTTCACACTCCATCCCAGTTGGTGGCACAATGGACCCTTTTCACAAGACTGTGAAAGACTTCCGCTGCTGAGAAACCCGGAAATGTGAAAAAGGTTCATTGACCCAGAGCCAACTGGGCCAATAATGCAATGTTCTGCAGTTACTGTATTGTCATGTCTGCCGAACTTATGGGTCCATATCTTCAAAATATCTTCAAAATGCTACAGTATTACAAATTTCTGAAAATTTGCATGGTAACAGTCAAGGGCCCTGGGAATAAGGTCCCAGTAGAACTTTTAACGCACCCTTAAAGGCAGCTGAGATATAGAGCCTCCAATTGGGCCAATAATGCAATTTCTCCTATTGTATAGTCATATCTGCCAAACGTATGGGTCCATATCTTAAAAATGCTACAGTAAAAATGTCTCAAAATTTGCATGGTAACAGTCAAGGGCCCTGGGAATAAGGCTTCAGTGGACCTTGTAACGCACCCTCTAAGGCAGCTGAGATATAGCGCCTCCAATTGGGCCAATAATGCAATTTCTCCTATTGTATAGTCATATCTGCCAAACGTATGGGTCCATATATTAAAAATGCTACAGTAAAAATGTCTGACAATTTGCATGGTAAGAGTCAAGGGCCCTGGGAATAAGGCCCCAGTAGAACTTTTAACGCACCCTCAAAGGCAGCTGAGATATAGCGCCTTCAATTGGGCCAATAATGCAATGTTCTCCTGTTACTGTTTTGTCATATCTGCCAAACTTATGGGTCAATATCTTAAAAAATGCTACAGTAAAAATGTCTGAAAATTTGCATTGTGACAGTCAAGTGAATAAGCCCCTAGTGAAACATCCAACGCACCCTCAAGGGCAGCTGAGATATAGCACCCTCAGTAGGGCCATGAATGCAATAGTTCAAGTCTATATTGTCATATATGTCAAATCTATAGGTCCATAACTTCAGAATGGTACCGTAAAAATGTCTGAAATTTTCATGGTGATAGACAGACAGTCACACCGGGTATAAGCCTCTAATGAAACTTTCAATGCACCCTCAAGGACAGCTGAGATTTTGCGCCTCCAATAGGGCAATCAGTGCAATGGCCCGCGGAGTCCAGCCCGGGGTCGTCACATGTGGTTGCTGCAAGACCGCCGGCCGCGCCATTCTCAAGCCCGCCAGCCGTTCCTCACTCAAACCCGCCTCCGCTCACTCTAGCCCGCCGTGTGTGACGCTGTGTGTTTCGTTGTGAAAGCGAAACTACTTTGTTTTTCCAAAAGAAAGAGGACATGACTAGAAATCAGTGGTTAAGTTGTATTTACAACACTGTTCCAGAACAGTTCAACCCAAATATTCAGATGTGTGCAGCGCATTTTATGGAGGACTGTTTCCTGATCCTGGAAGAGTAGACTACAGTGCCGGCTGTTCTGACTCACAGAGTGTAAGTACGTTTTCATTAAAAGGATTTGCCACTGATGATTAATGATGATTCTACATGATGATTCTACATTTTTAGCAGTGTAGAGCAACGCTTGCCCGATCACAAATGCAGACATGGTTTTATGTTAAAGCGGCGCGATGCAACCAACGCGTAAAAAGACAGTATAAGTCATTATAATCCGTAATTATGTCCCCACTGGATGCAACAAATGCCTCGTTTGCAATGGGTATTTAAAGAATTTGCCACTGACGATTCAAACGCGAGTTCTGAGCAATGTGCTTGTTGTTTGTCATTTCTCCGATCACAAATGCAGACATGGTTTTATGTTTACGCGGCGCGATGCAATGCGTAAAAAGACAGTATAAG